TTGCTTTTTTATGAACTATGTTTGTTCTCTACTTCCAAACTCAGCATCTCTTCATCCAGGACTGAGATAAGAAGTTACTTTTGACTGGATTTGATTCAACTTTTAAGCCTCTCTGTATTAAATTAATATTATATATATATGCCTCCTGGTATGTTGAATAACAAATTTGCATCCAATCTTTTAAATAAACGGTGTTAGTTTTTTGTAATAAATAAGAATTATGCTCTAATTTGTAGTTACCGATCTGTCGTTACTATATTTTAATTTGACAAACTGGATCATCTCAATTTTTCTTTTTCCTGTTTAGTGCGATTGCAATTGCGGATCTTGACCTGGCTGGACCTAAGCAGAGCAAAGAATAGCATGGCTCTGTATTTTGACGGTGACGGACGGAGAAGACGTACGTGGACAGAGACATGCGGAAGAGTGGCAGGGGATGTGGAACAGTTCTCATTGATTAACATGACAGACAAGTACTCCACACGATGTACGTGAGCGGGTCGGAGCGGAGAGCTGACAGAGTGTGTGGAATCTGGGGGTAACATGGCCAAGATTATAGAGCTGTCTAAAGACACTAGAGACAAAACAGCAGTGTATTAAGGAGAATGACTGGGTCCATATTTTGCCAGATTTTGGGGAAAAACCTCCTCAAATAATTGGCCTGACTGTTTATTTCTAACCATTTCATTCGCATCTATTAATCTAATGCAAACCAATGCTTAAAATGCTTCTGCTGTGAATGGAGTTGGGAATTAAACATATACTTAAATCTGTTTTACATTTATTTTTGTCTTGACTATGTCTAATTTGTATAAGAGTAAACAATTTTTTCTTCAGCGACTGCAGCCGAGGTTGGAGCTCGAGGAGAGACGTTAAAATATATATTTGATTATTAATAAATACTGATGTTAAATAACAGAAAAAACAGTAATGCTGATAGTGTTTCTGTAGGTATCTGTGTATTTAATTGTTTCTTCCTTTACTTTTAACTTATCTTGGTGTAGATGGTGCCTTTTCTTTTTTTTTTTTTTTGATTTCTGTTAGGAAAACAAAAATCCTACAAAATCTTAAAGGGCAAAAAGACTCCAAGAATCACTTTATCTTAGTAACATGTAAAGACCTGCCCACACTTGTTTCTGTTCTTGACCAGTTTTGGGACACCAACTTTTAGTTTCATTATAAATACTAGATCCATTCCAGAACAAATGTACAGGGAGGAAACTGCACTGATTCTATTTGACCTTTTTAGTCATTTTGCAACCTTTCCTCTAACCCCATAGGTTTGTCTGTTTTAATCGTCTCCGTTAATCAATCCATCCTTGCAATTGTACAGTTTTCTGACGAAACAACAGTTGTCTAAAAGGAGTAAAAGGGATGAAATCTCGTTGGACAATTATAGACCTTTATATCAGTTTGGATTCATATAATCCAGACAATTTTTTTTTTCTGCTGAGACAGAATAAGATAAAGTCTGGACATAGGTGAGCTTTCTAGTTTTGGCCTGCTCTAAGCCCACACTGTGGTGTCTGTGGTGAAACGCCTGGGTGGGCTTCA